TGAAAATAGTGAGATTCGAATAACATTCGTTGGCTTCACGAAATTATCAGATTTGTCCGTTCAAATATCTGCAAAATCATCGCTTATGACTGGGATCGTTTGTTTATATTTCAGTGAAATACAATATTTGAATAAATACGTGCAAATTTGAACACTAAAGAAATGCACTTATTTTTATATTTATATAGTCCAATATTCAGTGCCCAAATTACTTGTTGATCCGAACAGTCGGAAGCTCAGGATTTCCACAATTCAAATGTTAGGGGTCAAATATTATTCTTTTTCTTTTGTTTTTATGAACGAACATCTGATAGGTTCATTTGAAAAAAATTTGGAACGTTTAAAGTGCTGACTATTTGTTTTAAGCACCTGTCTAATGTTTTTGTGAAAATTTTCGAATTGTTCAGGAAGAAAACAAAAAAGATAATGCTGAACGCAATATCGCGGAGGGAACTTGCACAGGAATGTGTCCCGAGAAAGAAAGGTAATCACTAGGAGCACCTTGCTCTTCTTTTATTTTCCTACGGCGGACGTGGACCCAGCGATATACCTCTAACTTAACTTTTAACTCTAAAGAAATGATGATAAGTTTTAGCAGTGTATGTTCCAAAAGTAATCACCGTCATTATCAAGAATTGAAAGTCTTTCTCAGGTATGTTCGCGTCGTACAAAAGCGAATTTCTCCATATGAATGCAATCCTGATGGCTCTCTTAATCCAAGTCGTTTGGTCAAGGTATAACTTTTTGATCATACATTGGACCTTTGACAACGTCTTTGCATCTCTCATGCTAACATTTTTGGAAGTTATGGAATTAAGTTTCTAGGAATATGCTAGGAGCGCTGCAGACCAGGACAAACCCTTACCTCATGAGTTGCGTTCAAAGGAGTTGTTGGAAAACTCTATGGGCTATCTCCTTAAACACGTAGAATTCAATCGGCCTTTTTTTTGGATTTTTTTTTGGTAGCGGCTTTACTTCTAGGTTTTCGACTGTGCTCCCAACAATGAGGATGATCTAGCAGTATGGTACGACTTTTTATGGAGTCGAACTAGAGCCATCCGCAAGGAGATCACTCAGCTAATGTTGACAGATAAGACGGCAGTTGCCTTAGTTGAGAGGTATGCTGGATTACTGGTATTTAAGAGTTCAGATTTTCATTTGTTGGATCAAAAGAAAATGGTATCACTTTCTTGTTAAGGTGTGCAAGATTACATATACTATGTGCTTACAAACTGTGCCGTCTTGGTTTCGAGAAATTTGACCAGAATATGAACACGGAAAATCTTGCCAAGTGCTTGCAATCTCTTCGCCACCTTTACGAAGATCTAGGTAGAAATCCTCTAGTTCTATTCACCTACAAGTCAGTGAATTTTCTTATATTTAGCTGCACAGGGAATAGTGTTCGATACGGAAGCCGAGTTTCGTGGTTACGATGTTATGTTACACCTTTACGACAGCAATATTCTCAGACAGGTTTCAGCTATCTCATTTTTTGATCCTTACTTTTCTCTTTCTTCTTGACCTTATCCTTTGCTCTCATCATGCTGACGATTGCTCGCAGGTACTGTCATACCGAAAGGAAGTACGAGATTCACGACCGGTTCGTTTGGCACTCCAACTGTCCAGTGCGCTGCAGAATAAGAATTATGTTAGGTAGGAATTTTATGAGAAGACGCTTCAGCCCTTAACTCTTTTTATTCCTATTTCGAGGTTCTTCCGATTGCTAAGAAGAGATGCCACCTTTTTGCAGTGCTGTATATGTCATCGTTACTTCAATACTGTGGGTGGACCTTCTTGCTGTCATTATTAACCAGCTCAATTTTTGAATACATATTATTTTTGCAGGTTCAAGCTAAAGCTTTGCTAACGATGATGACTGCATATGGCAGAAACTCAGTGTTTCCATTAGACACAATATGGCGTGTGCTCGCTTTTGACGATCGAGAGGATGCGTTGAAATCTCTTGCAGTGTACGGTGTTCAACAGAACGATATGGACTATAACCAAGTATGCCAATGAT